TTGCCCTTTAGTGACTGACATATTTTACTCAGCATAATGTCCTCCAGGCTCACCCATTTTGAATAATATTGAATGAGTTCCTTGTTTTTCAGTGCAGCATAGTATTCCATTGTGTGAATATACCACAGCTTTTCTATCCATTCGTTTGTTGATGGGAGAAAAAGAATATTTTTATAACTTTCTGTAGAGCACTTTAAAATTGAGATTTGGTCAACAAATGAATGTATAGAAAAAAATTGTGGTATAGTCATACAATGGAATATTATGCAGCATTGAAAAATAATGAATTTGTAAACCACTACACAGTATGAATGAGCCTGGATGACATTATACTGAGTGAAACATTTCAGTCACAAAAGAACAAATGTTTTAGAACACTGTTTTTATGAAATAGGACTGATGTGGGGGATTGAAGGGTGAAAAGGGAAAGAGTAGACAGAAAATGAACACTGCATTAAAACAGATGAGGGGGAGAACTATGAGGAATGTATGATTAGAGATTATATGTAAGATAGTAATCTGGAACAAATAGGGCATTGCATAGTAGACTGGGGGTGGGAAAAGAAAGGGAGAGGGAGGAAAATGCAACAATGAATGAATGAATACCCAGTATTTCTGTAAACTTTAATTAAAAATACCATTTTTTTTAAAAAATTGAGATTTGGATATTTTACTTTTATTTTTTCCATTTTCTAGAAACTGTTAATCTTTTTTATCAAATTTTTAAATTGTGATTTGAGTGTAAGTTTACAAAGCATATAGCTTTTTTAATCATTTATGTACATTTTGTTCCATAGCAATTATTACCATGCCTCATGCCTGATCATCCATTCATTCCATATTGTCATTCTCTTCACCTATCAAGTGTTTATTATCTGTTAATTTATTTTCTACTCTTCCTCATTACCCTTCCTAGTAACCATATTATAATTATTTTCTCCATGTGTTAACCTTTCTTCAGCTCTTTACAATAGTGATCTTACATAGTATTTGACCTTTTGTGACTGACTTATTTCAGTCAGCATAATGTCCTCTAGATTTATCTAGAATTCTTTGTTCATGAATGTTTTACAGTATTGCATTATATTCCATTGTGGGAACATACGATAGTTTCTCTATAGGATTTGCTTTTTATATTGTATATATATATATTTAGTAAATTGCATGGGAGAAGATTTCTCATCTTCTCCAGTGAAACAGCTGGTGAATTCAAACTGACTGCCTTTGGGTTGACATTGCAACTCCTTATCCAGAAGGAGTACCCACTAGAGTTCCTTCTCTTCTTGGTAATTAAAATCTACTATTCATCCCCTCCTGTTTTGTCAAAGGAACCAAAATAATAAAAAAGAAAAGTTCTTCATTTTGTGTTCCCTGACTAAATAGATAGGAATAAAAGTAGGCATTCTTCTAAGTTTTATTATGTATATTGTCAACAAAATAAATAAAGTTATATTTAAAAAGGAAAAAAAGTGTGAATTCTTACTTATTCTTCTGTTTTTTTCAACCTGGGAGAGAAAATATATATATATTCATATCAGAGTTAATAAGGATTTATTTCCATTCCTTTTGTACTTTCACAAAAAACATGTACACAAGAGTCTCAGGATTAATTTTAATAAGTAGATTCAAGAAGACAGGCGTACAAAAAGGTGATATATATGGAATTCTGCTCTAATTGATAAGTGCTTTTGAATTCACCAACTGCTTTGTGGGAAAAAGATGGACGGTATCCTCCTGTGCACTTATTGTCTCTGAAAATCCACTGCAGAGTCAATTTTGAGTCAGTTCCAACTTATGACAATGAGTTATGTGTTGCTGATTTTGAAAGGGTTTTAAAAATTCATTTTAGATTATTAACTTTGTTAACAATTTTGTTGATGATCAGGATACCAATGCTGATCCCAAAGTTAAGGATCCAAAAGCATGTCGAACAAAAGCATCAAAAACTGATGGAGAAAAAATTGAAAAAGGCATGCGAACGTCAAACGTCAGCTCTCTCCATGACAATGGGACAAGTCATGCCAAAACAGTGCCTTCAACAAGCCTTAGAGACTACAGCAATGGCAATGTGGATCACACACGGAATCCAGGCATGGCCATCCCTCCACTTGCACACAACCTTTCCGCTGTGGCTTCTGAAATGAATTCTGGCATGGGAACTGTCCCAGGAGTTCAGAGTTACAGGTATGAATTAGGAAAATAAGACAAAGCCAAAAGCAAACCCTGCTTAAAGTGAATTTGCAAAATGGAGCTGTCACTTGAGCTGTGTTGCCTCGCTATCAGGCTTCTGGAGTTACCCATTCATGTCAGATTGCGGCTTCCAGTGGCTTTTCTTGCCTTGTGATGAAATGACATGTTGAAATGAAATGTTGTTGTTGATTGCTCTCCAGTTGAGCACGACTCATAGTGACCCTATGAACAAAAGACCTGAAGCCTTTCTATTATTATCATCGTTTCTCAAAGTTTATAGTTTCCAGAGGCATGTTGTTTAGGAAGTGGATGCCACTTCTGCTTCCAATATTACCACCTAAGTATCCAGTCAGATGGCCTCAGGAACAAGATCTGCTGTCCCAAGAGTTAGCATCCAGGCAGCAGTCAAGCCAAGACCTACCAGCACCTAGATTGTCTTCTGGTGAACCAAGAATTTAGGAGCACTTTGTAGATTATGCTAAAGGTTAATAATGAGGTGCAAATTTGCATAAATCACTAGTCTTTCAAGAATATTTTTTATTAGCATTAGATTAAAAAAAAGATTCACCTGAGAAATTAGAGTCATATGATTTAAAATAAGACAATTTATAGCTGTTTTGTCTAACAAAACATAACAAAACTTTTTTATCATAAAAAAAGGGTAGTTATTTGGTTTTGAAGTTCTATTGCTGTGTGGTGTGACTATGGACTTAATGGTACAAGGAAGTACACACCTTTTAGGGATTTTGTTGAAATAAAGATAATTCATTTGGTAAAAGGAGTTCCAGTTTTTGTATACCTTTGAGTCAGAAGCAACCCATAGGTGATCCTCCAGCAAGTTTTCAGACAATTATTCACATGGAAGGGGATTACCCATCTTTCTTGTGCAGAGCAGCTGGTGGATTTGAACCACCTACCTTTGCATTGGCAGTGCATTTCCTTACTAGTAAGCCCCGGAACATCCCCCAGGGAGTCCCTAGATGGGGCAAATGAGATGGCTGATGAGAAATTGGAAGTTTGTGTCTGCTCAGAGATGCCTGGGAAGTAGGCCTGGTGCTCTACTTTGCAGAAATCAGCCTTTCAAAAACCCTGCAGAGTGCATTTCTATTTTGACAAACATGGATGACATACATAAGCCAGGCTGAGCTCAGTGGCAACCGGCTTGGTTTGGTAAGAGTTTTGAGCTAATTAAGGGAGGATGGGAGGTAGTAGTTAAGGGCAGAAAGCTTCATCAGATCTGTGTGCCTTGTATATTTGAGCATAGGCAATGGGTTCTAACTGAACTTAATGACACTTGGTGATGAGTCTTTTGATTTTGTGCTTAAAAAGAACTTATTCTTATTTTACAGAGTGGATGAGAAAACAAAGAAGTATTACATCCCATTTGTGAAACCAAGCAAACATTCTCCTTCAGACATTTTTAATATTAACATGGCCACCCCAGTAAGTGAATTATCTTCGGCAATGTTACATGCTAAGAACAAAAAATTTTATTTGGAGAAATATAATAAATTGAACATTCAATTATGCATATACTAGCTAATTTACTTATGAATAACCACTCTTAAAAGTGATGGTGGTCTGAATCCTGACCTATCCTGAGCCAGTCTCACGCCTCTGACACACCTGCCCACATTACCACACTCACTGTCAATTTATCTCATCCAGGGCCTTCCCTGAGGGTTTTCCTCCTTTGTTGACCCTTCACCCTTCCAAACACTATGTTCTTCTCCAAGGACTGGTTTCTCCTGCCAACATGCCCAAAGTATGCAAGACAGAGCTTTAAAATCCTTGCCTCCAGGGAGAGAGTGTTTATCTTACTTTTCAAAGAGAGGAGTGAACTGGGGTGAGGGGGAGGGCTTGGCGGGGAGAGAAGTGCAGCAATGCAATCCAAATGGAAATCCAAAATCTCTGTAAATGTTCATTAAAAGTATTTAAAAAAATATTTAAGTAAAAAAAAATCCTTGCCTCCAAGAAGCAACTTGGTTTAACCCTCTCCAGAACCGACCTGTTTGTTCTCTTGGCAGTCCGTGGTATGTATGTTCAATACTCGTTTCAAGCACTACAACTCAAAGGCGTCAGTTCTTCTTCTGTCAGCCCTCTGATGCACAGCAAGTAATTGTGAAGAGCATGGCCTGGATCAGATGCACCTTAGTCTCTTGACTGACATGAGTGCTCTTTGATACTCTGGGGAGGTCCCTGACATCAGATTTTCCTAATGCAATTTGTCTTTTGATTTCTTGACTGCTGGTGTCAAGAATGTTGGTTGTGGAGCCTATCAAGCTGAAATTGTTAACAATCTCAATCTCTTAATTTATCATGGTGCTGCCAGTTGGCCCAGTGGTGAGAATCTTTGTTTCTTTGATGTTGAGCTTCAATCCATGTTGCAGCCTGCAGTATGGTCAAGTTCTGGACCTTCTGCAGCAACTGCTTCAGGCCCTTCTCAGTCTTTGAAAGCATGATTGTGTCATCTACATAATGTAGGTTATTGATTAATCTTCCTTCAATCCTGATGCTACATTCCTCCTCATCAAGTCCAGCCTTCTGAGGCTGTTCCACATATTATATGAGAAGTATGGAGAAAGGATGCTTCCTTTATGCTCTCCTTTCTTGATTTTTGAACTATGCAGTGTTTCTTTCTTTTTGTTCTGATGACTACGTCCTGGTCTAAGTACAGGTTTCGCATAAGCCAAATCAAGTATTTGGGAATCCCATTCTTCTTAATATTATCCACAATTTGTTTTGTTCCCCATAGTAAAAAACCTTTGCATAGTCAATAAAACACAAATAGACATTCTTCTGGTACTCTTTGCTTTCTGCCAAGATCTGTCTGACATTGGCAATGATGTCCCTAGGGCCATGGCCTCTCCTAAACACAGCTTGTATTTCTGGCAGTTCTTTGTTGATATACTATTTTAGTTGTTTTTGGATAATCTTCAATAGGATTTTGCTTGGGTATGATATTAGTGATGTTCAGTAATTTCCACACACTATTGAATCACCATTTTTGATAATGGAAATAAATATGAATATCTTCCAAACTGTAGGTGTTTATAGACTTGAAAACGGAAATATTATTACAATAATATCTGTCAAGGTTGTTGGTAGTTGTTGTTGTTGTTGTTGCTGTTGTGTACTATCAAGTTGGAACATAGTTGACCCTCCCTCAAATTTTCAGAAGTAGTTAATTTCCTGGGAGGAGATAATCCATCCTTTTCCCACAGAACAGCTAATGGATTTAAACTGTGTGCCTTTGGAATTGGAGCTCAGCTTTTCTCCACTAGGCCATCAGAGCTACCTTTTTTAATAATAACAATAAACTTCCTTAATTTAATGCTTGTGATAATTTTTTTAAAAGTAGATGAGAAAATAAATGGTCTTATTCTCTTGTCAACCCACCTGTATGAGGATCTACATCTTTCCCCTCCACCTTAAGCGTGATGTCCTTCTCCAAGGACTAACCTCTTCTAGCAACATGCCCAAAATATATGAGACAAAGCTTAATCACCTTTGTCTTCAAGGAGCACTCTGGCTGCACCCTCTCCAAAACACGTCTGTTTGTTCTTTTGGCAGTCCATGGGATGTTCAGTACTTTTCTCTAACCAATACCGCAGTTCAAAAAGGCATTAATTCTTTTTCTGTCATCCTTAATCATTGGCCCCTCTTAATAATACACAAAGTATGTCAGACGAAGTTTCATCGTCCTTGCCTCTGTGGAGCACTGGGATACATTTCCTACAAGAGAGATTTGTTTGTGGTTTTTTTGTTTGTTTTTTTGTTCATATTCTTTGCTGATATCACTATTCAAAGGCATTGATTCTTCTAAGGTAGATAACAAGAACTGTGTGCTGAAAACCCAGCAAGTGTGTTAAGGCCTGCCCTTGCTGAAGAATCAGGATACAGATATTCATCTTTTGACCTTTTATTGCTTCCTATAACTTACAGTGAAATGCTCAACAGATTAAAACTCATTGTTACAGCAGAGCCATGTACAAGGTTCAAAAGCAGCACAAGAAGGAAATATATTATTCTCAAAATAGCTACCAGGATATTTCTTTTTAAAGTTAAGTAAAACCATCAACACTTTTTTTTGCTCAAAATCCTCCATTTGCTTCTCATCTTTAGAGGAAAGGCTACAGGACTTTTTGTACCTGTAAGTTCCCACATGATTCATTCCTTCCATCCTTTCTGCCTTTTGGTGATAAAGTTTACAAATCATGTTGGTTTTTCCTTCAGTCATTCCTACACGTAGTTTTAGAACACTAATAAAAATTGGTTAATGTCATTAATGAAGATTATTAAAAAACAACTGGAACAGTACATAGATAAGGAACTGCCAGAAGTTCAAGCAGGATTTAGAAGAGGCCATGGCACCAGGGATATCATTGCTGATGTCAGATGGATCCTAGTTGAAAGTAAGGAATACCATATGAATGTCTATTTGTGCTTTATTGACTATGCCAAGGCATTTGACTTTGTGGATCATAACAAGTTGTGGCTGACATTGAGAAGAATGGGAATCCCAGAGCACTCCATTGTGCTCATGAGGAACCTATACCTGGAGCAGGAGGCTGTTATACAAATTGAGCAAGGGAGCATTGCATGGTTTGGAATTAGGAAGGGAGTGTGTCAGGATTGTATTCTCTCTCCATAACTGTTCAATCTATATGCTGAGCAAATTATTTAAAAATCTTGACTCTATGAAGAGGATTGTGGCATCAGGATTGGAAGGAGACTCATCAATAACCTGTATTTGGCAGATAACACAACAACCTTACTTGCTGAAAGTGAGGAGGACTTGAAGTCCTTGTTACAGAAGATCAAGGAATTCAGCTTCCAGTATGGATTGTGTCTCAATATCAAGAAAACAAAGATTCTTACCACTGTACCAATAGACAGTGTCATGATGATTGGAGAGGAGATTGAAACTGTCAGCAGTTTCATCTTGCTTGGATCCTCAATTAACACCCTTGGTATGAGCAGTTAGGAAATAAGGAGACACATTGCACTGAAAATCTGCAGTTAGGGACCTTTCAAAATTATTAAGGAGTAATGATGTCAGTTTGAGGACTAAGGTATGATTCAGGCCATAGTCTTTCTGATTAGTAGTTATGCATCTTAGACCTGGACTGTGAATAAGGATGACAGAAAAAGAATTGACGCCTTTGAGCTGTGGTGTTGGAGAAGAGCACAGAATATTCCATGCATGGTAACAGATACGTCTTGGAGGGGTGCAGGCAGAGAGCTCTTTGGAGGCAAGAATGATGAGGCTTGCCTCACATACTTTGGACATGTTGCTAGGAGGTGCTATCCCTTGGAGTGGGACATGATGTTAGGAAGGGTAGAGGGTTGGTGAAGGAGAGGAAGACCCTCAACCAGATGGATTGACATGATGACTGCATCAGTGGGCTCTTGTGTCTCAGGAAATGTGAGGATGGTGCAGGATAGAGCAGGGTTCATGTATTTTGTTCATAGGGTCACTGTGAGTCATGCTTGATTCTACAGCACCTAACAAAAACAGGAAGTTAATGAATTACAGCATCTGATCAATTCTTAGAGCATATGCTTTTCCATTCCCCTAACTTATTTATTTATTAAATTTTACACCCCACTCCCTCCCCTTACAGCCCAGGTTGTCATCCAGCAAGGATTTTATCTTTCTGTAAATCTTTCCATCCCTTTAGGCCATCTCCTAATGTTTTTCCCTTGCTCCATATGTTTCAAACATGCTTATTTCCTTATTTCTGGAAAGTGGCCAATATGTTCCCACCTTTTAGCTTTTTACACTTTTTCTTTTCTCTGCTTAGACTGTTTCTCCTCCAGATCACCCAAAGAATTTGCTACTTCTATTTTCTACCTTATTGTGAGGTATTCTTTAATAACCTCATTGAATATTGTAACTCACTGTCTTCCTTGTCTCTCATCATTCTCTATCCTCTTTTCCTCCTTTATTTTTTTAATTGTATATATTTAACCTACCAAGCCAAAGGTGGTTGATTTTATTCTTCAGCCCTCAGGCCTGGTTTTAATTGTTTTTGGTCAAACATTTTTCTAAGTTTTATAGCCCTGGTCTGTCCATTTACTATACAGAGGTTAACTTGTGGTCACTGTGAAGCTGAACACTGTGACATTGATGTGTCAAATGCAATAAAGGTTACTCATGGTGGACAGTGTTTGGTGGCACTCCCAGATTAAGACAAGCTTGGAAGCAGGAATGGCATCCACTTCCGTAATAGCTTGCCTGCAGAAACCCTATGAAATTGGAGAAATGATGAGTCATACAAGTGTTCAGGTCTTTTGTTCATAGGGTCGCTATGAGTTGTCTATGACTCAACGGCACTTAACAACAACAACAACATATTTAACCTTCTTTGTACTGTACATTTTTATATATGGGCTCAAGTATGTCAGAGATGATGAGGATAGCATAGGGTAGAACCGAG